CGTTAGTGCTGCGAGGGTATATCATGGCTGTGTCCTGAATGTGTTGGGCAAGAGGTTTCGCGTTGATCTAGTTCCGATACCGTTGCGAGGGTTGATTGGGCCATGGACATATTGATTGGTCCTTATTGGGCCAAGAGGCCCATTAAGGATTTCAGACTTGGACTTTGGGCCCATTAGCAAGGGATGGATAACTGGGCCTTATGGAAGGGGTTTGGAGTTTGGGTTTCCTTTGATTAATTAAAGTCCTAACAACATGTTTAATATTATTATTCAGCTCGGGAGGTTACGGACTGTTAGGAGAACAACTTTTGTATTCAGCAGGCAGAGGTGAGTCTTCTCACCATACCCATGGGTCTAAGGCACCAAGGACGGCCCATTATGTGATTATGATATATGTGTTAGTCATCTTGTGTTTTGGTATGTCATGTGAATGTATGTTTTGCATGGAAGACCTCGGGGGGGGGGGGGGGGGGGGGGGAGCCCGTGGCATTGGATGTAAGACCATGTGGGGTAGCCCATGGCTGTCCTAGGTAAAGACCATGTGGGGTAGCCCATGGCATTGGATGTAATACAATGTGGGGTCGCCCATGGCAGTCCTAGGTAAAGACCATGTGGGGTAGCCCATGACATTCTTACAGGTTTTATGTATGCATGACTTATGTGATATCTATGTAGCTTTAATTAGCTAACAGGATATGTGTATGTGTATTGTGTGTGGTATGCTCTGGGGAACTCACTAAGCATTTCGCTTACAGGTTGTTGATTTGTTTCAGGTAAATCTGAGCCCAAGGGCAAGGGCAAGGCGTGATGGCGCGACATGCACTCTATCTCTCTTTCACTGATATGTTTTGGGGACACTCTGATGATTTAAATAAGTTGTAATGAATGCTGATTTGAAAACAATTATGTTGGGATTTCATAGTTTATGCAAATGTGTTTTATTAATTAAAAATGGAAAATTTCTTTGAAAAATTTGGGTCGTTACATGGAGGGGGGGGGGGGGGGGGGGGCAGGTTTCGGGTTGATGATTATGGTGGTGAGCCTATTTTTTTATTTTAATTCTTAATAACAAATAAATCAAAAATATATCAAAAATGAAATGAAAAAGGGTAAAGTAGTCATTTTATGTTCGCCAAGGACAGTCCGATTGAGAAAAAAACATTATAAGGATGGTCCGAGTTATTTTTTGAAATTAGAGACTAAACGTATAACTTGATACCAGAACCAGGGATGAATCGTGTAATTTACTCTTAAAAAGAAATTGGAGTGCTATAGTAATACTAAGGGGGTGTTTGTGTAAGCCTATTTTTTTAGGCTTAAGGTTATGAGCTTAATAGCTTAATAACTAATGAGCTTATTAGTTTATAAAGTAAAAAAGTGTTTGAATTAGCTTATGATTTATAAGCTAATAAGCTCTTTTCAAAATATTGTTTGGGTTAGGTTATTTTTTGTAAAATGACTAAAGTTGACATGCTTACATTACACAATTGGTAAAGAGAGTTATGGTGTTTTGGAGAAAGAAGAATAAGGGTAAATACGTAAATATACATAAATAAGCTCATGCATTGAAAAAAAAGCTGAATTGAAATGACTTATGAAAATTGGCTTATTTTTATGTAAAATAAGCTCATAAGCTTAAGCTAATAAGCAGGGGTGACAACTCTTGACCAACCCGTAACCCGACACTGACCCAAATCGAAAATAGACGAGTTTTGGGTTGAGATTTTTGACCATCCAACCCCGTTTATTTTATGGGTTGGGCTGGGTTACTTGTTTGGGTTCGCGGGTCAACCCGTCAACCTATATATAATATATATATATATATATATATCTATATAGATATATATATATATATATAATATATATATATATATATATATATATATCTATATATATATATCTATATATATATATATATATATTACAATTAAAAAATAGATATATTTAATTATTAATGAAATATGCTTTCCTTCCGTATTCGTAATACTTCAGTTCATTGTATTACTTCCGTATTCGTATGTGGCTAATATGCGTTTGTGGTTCCCTGATCAAAAAAGAAAAAACAAATGTCGTCATTTTTAGATACTCACGTGTCATGAACGAAGAATACATCAACTTTGTATGAATGTTTTCATTTTTCAATTTTATTTGGATGTTAATGACTTTATGTTTTTATGTTAATTACTTTAATTACTTTATGATTTTATGTTGAAAAAACCTTATTTTTAAAAATGTATTGCTTATTTATTAAACGGGTTATATGGGTTGAGTTCGACCCACTAACTTGTGAACGTACAAATCCATAAACTTAAATGAGTTATATAGGTTGGGTTGAGTTGAGGTTTCTAACCCACCAACCTCTGACCCGCCAACCCATATATTATATGGGTTGGATTGAGTTTATGTTTTATGAGACACCTACTCTTCAACCCATAACCTACTAATTTTTTCATTTGCCCCAAAATATAAACTGCCGAAAAATAAGCTAAAACAAAAACCCTCTAAGAATAAATACTAACATTGGTGCCAGGAGCTAACACTCCTCCGGCCTAAAGCGGTCTCTGTTCTTGGTTCAGCTCTGCTTCTTCTTGTTCTTCTTCGATCTCCATATATGCAAACAAGAGAGACACTTAAATAATGTTGGGAGTAAATCTGTTCAGGCGCAATCCAGAGATTATACGCGAATCTCAGCGACGGCGGTTTGCTAATGTTGAACTTGTTGATAAAATCATTCAACTTTATGAAGAATGGAAAAGCCGTCAATTCGAGCTGGAACAGTTCCGAAAGGATTTCAACAAGATCAACAAAGAAGTCGCCAAACTCAGAATTGCAGGACAAGATGCGACTTCATTGATTAAAGATACCGAGGAAAACAAGCAATTGACTGCGAAGAAAGAAGCACAGGTTCAGGAGGCCCAAAGAGCATTGCATTCAAATCTGAATCTGGTTGGAAATATTGTTCATGACTCTGTTCCCGTTAGCAACGATGAGGTGCGTATTCTTTCAATATACATTATGCTTGTTTGACGTCTTGATATTGGAACCCTAGATGTTCTACATGACAAATTACGTTTTGCAAGTTCGGTAATCCATTCTATTTTGATTAACCAAAGAACAAATTTAGGCAGATAACGAGATAGTTAGGAGTTGGGGAGAGAAGAGGGATGAAGCAAAACTGAGAAATCATGTGGATCTTGTCGATCTTCTTGGAATTGCAGACCTGAAAAGAGGTGCTAATGTTGCTGGTGGTAGAGGATATTATCTAAAAGGAGATGGTGTGCGTCTCAATCAAGCTCTAGTGAATTTTGGCCTTGATTTCTTGGAGAAGAAGGGGTTACACACTGTTGCAGACTCCATTCTTCATGAGAAAAGATATCATGGCCAAATGTGCTCAATTATCACAATTTGATGAAGAACTCTACAAGGTAACAGGTGAAGGAGATGACAAATACTTGATTGCTACTGCTGAACAGCCACTTTGTGCTTATCACATGGATGATTGGATCCATCCAACACAGCTGCCATTAAAATATGCAGCATATTCATCTTGCTTTCGTAAAGAAGCTGGATCACACGGGCGTGACACTCTTGGGATTTTTCGTGTTCATCAGTTTGAGAAACTGGAACAGTTCTGCATCACCAGCCCTAATGATAATGATTCATGGGACATGCATGAAGAAATGATGAAAAACTCAGAGGAGTTTTATCAGATGTTGAAACTTCCATATCAGGTAGTGTCTGTTGTTTCTGGTGCTTTAAACGATGCTGCTGCAAAGAAGTATGATTTAGAAGCATGGTTTCCTGCATCCAGTACTTACAGAGAGCTTGTTTCGTGCTCAAACTGCACTGATTATCAATCAAGAAAACTGGAGATTAGATATGGGCAAAAGAAGGTTGGTTTTAATTGTATTTGTAACTTAGAAAATATGTTCTGTTGACTTTGAGGTATGTTTTGACTTGTGTAGAGTAATGAGGAGACAAAGCAGTATTGTCATTTATTAAATTCTACCCTCACAGCAACAGAGAGGACTATATGCTGTATACTTGAGAACTACCAGAAAGAAGATGGTGTTGAAGTGCCAACAGTGCTACAGGGATTCATGGGTGGCAAGACTTTCTTGCCTTTTCAATCCACTGTTATCAAAGAAACAAAAGGAAAGAAATCAAAGGCATAAATCGTTTCATTTTTCAAGCGTACAATTGAAGGTTAGATACTTGGTAAGTTATTTGATTCAGTTTAATCTTTAGGTCAATGCTTCTGCTATTTCTTCATGAGATTGGTACTGAAAAGACTTGAATAGGGTTCTTTTAAATGTCCATCTTGATTCATGTCTGTGTTGTTAAGTCTGAATAGAAGTTTTTGGACACCTTTACCCCTGATTAAATACAAATAAAAAGAATGACTTTAAAAAGAAAGGTAATTTAAGCATATCATCATAATGTTTACTTTAGAAAGTGTCAAATGCAAGAAACTACAACATACTTTTATTCGAATTAATAGTAAATAAGAGCAAAGTGGCATGCACTATAAATATTGATGAGAATCTCAGCAATAAATATATCAACTTAGAACATGTGATAACGAAAAGAAACAATATAAATATTGAATAGTAATTGATTTACACTTCCCCAACAATATAAAATAGAGCTTTAGCCCTTTTGATGTCAACGGGATAAAAAGTGTAAATTTTGTCCCACCCAAAAAGGTGGAATAGGGACTTACTCTCATCTCTAGTTTGTACAAAAGACGTGATTGTCCTTTTTATCATCCTCTCTATCCAATATAGTTGTAATGTATCATGTATGTTTTAGTTCAACATGCAGATTGGAGGATTGTTGGGAAGACACAAATGGTAACATAGGCAATGAGGACGGTGATTAACAATTATAGGAGATAGTTCAATGGCTGCAAGGTTTTCCATGGTCTAATTGGAGTCCAAACAACATAACACAAATAAACCACTTTTCTGATATGAAAAATGTTGAAAGCTATATTATTCTTTATGTCTAGTCTATTTTTATCAAACTCGGACCAAGTAAGAGACAGTTTTGCTAGTTAAATAGCTGTTACGATTGTTTTAATAGAAACTTTGATTTGGTGTAAACACAATTTCAAACCTTATTTTTAAAGAAAGTTATCTCCGCATGTTGAGGATGAGAAATTCTGTAAATGATGTTTTGGATTCTGCGTCAGGCCATCAAGGAGACATTATGACTGACTTTCATCTAATTTAACCTAAACTTGATGAATCACAGCACCAACAAATGGGTGAACCAACACAGCATTTATAATTTTATATGAACTTAGTCCCCATGATGGGAGCCTACCTGTTGAGGTGAGAAATTCCACAAAAGAGGCCTATTGTTTAAACCATGACACACCCCCAAAATAGTGATAATGTTCTATGATTTACCCCCACTCCATGGGCCTTGAATTTGACATGGACTGCCTAGAGGATGCATGTACCCCTTTTTTTATACCAACTTGTTCCAATCTTCTTTTACGTCCTTCAACATCATATGTATATTTTAGAATAATATAATTATTCTCTGAGACTTTCTATTGCAAACCATTGTTAAGAAACTAGCTATTTTTGTATAGTTGCATATTTGAGTAAAATGATATATTGATAATTTATCCATTTTTAATGGTTGATTTATAACATAAGGATGATGGAAGAATAATATAACTATGCCCAATTCTGATATTGTCATGGGTAAAGAAGACGCAAGATGTAGATAGTTTTACTTCCATGTAGAGAAGAGAAGTTTAACAATGATAGAGAACTTGGTTCCATACTTAGACCTTGGACATTAAGAAGTGTGCATGATTCAATATTAAAACTAAGAATAATACTAATAGTAATAACTGAATGTTGGGGGTTCTATTCCTGGCGAGCACATGTGGAAGATTTTTCCTAGAACGGTAGCCGAATTCGGATCCCAGTTAATGCGTGCAGCCCCACAAAGGAAAACTGGGTGCAAAGACCGGGGGTGGTTATTCTCCTTGGAGAGGTTTTGATCTCGAGTCTTCGTGACTAGGTGCCATGGTGTCACGAAGATACTCCGTTGCACCACTGTTGTTTTAAAAAAAAATTGAAATGAATTATGAAGATAGTTACTAAATTACACACAACAATAGTATAAGTAACTAAGACATACATTACTTAATTATTTTAATTTTATGTCTTCATTCCCTGTGTCTAGAAAGTGTCAACATTTTCATGCGATAACCTCAAACTATCTTCTCTCCTTCTTAGTCCTATCAGCCATAACAATATGCATCGTTTTTTTCGTGGCCGTCAGCTGTCTCTTTTTGATATGTCAAAACCATCACAATCTTTTTTCCCTCAATTTCCGGTGGCAAACATAATTCCTAACTTATTGTTGATTGCCACATTCGGTCAACATTGTTCTACTGCATGTACACCATAACATCCTTATTTCCGTAACTTCCATTCTCTCTTGTGTTTTTATTTATTTATTAGCCAACATTCGAAGCCATACGACATAGTTGACGTATCTGTCACTCTATGGATTTTCCATTTGGTCTAAAAGATGACCTTCTCACATAATATTCTTATAGTTGGCGTACACTTTAACCATCTCACATTTATGTGTTGAGTAATGTCATCATTTACTTCTTCCTTAACTTTACTAATCTATTATCATTTTCCGACTTCCAGATATCCAACCAACATTTAGTTTCACCCTTGTTTATGCCACAACAAAATATCATCGACAAAAAAACATACACCATGACACACCTCCTTGAATCCCACGGAAAATATCATGGGCTAAGTGTTATCCATGGGAGCACCTTTTTTCACCGGGAAAGACCTACTAGAATTCAGTCACAAATCCTTGGTAACCACAATATATAACCATGACATATTTCCTTGGAATCCATCTATTTGGGTCCTCCAAATCATCTCACATGGCATGCTATCATATGCATTCCCAATATCAACAAACACCGTATGAAAGTACCCACTTATTCTTTATATTTATCTATACGACATTTGGAAATGTGAATTACCTCAATTTTTTACCCCTCACTTATGAAGCCGAATTGGTTCTTTATTAGATATTAATCGTCACAACCATTATTTTTCCGATATATCAAATGATTGGGTGCAAAGGGTTTGTACCCTAGCGGTATCAATTGTTGGTGAATGTTTCTCGACCACCACAAAGTGTGTGTTCAAGTGTGGTGGACATTTATAGATGTAGTTTAGAAGTAGAATAAAGTGTGTGTGTTTGACATTCCAAAAAAAATCTAAACTTCACAAAATGTTGTAATTGATATGATTTTGAAGTATAAATATATAAGGGGTGTTTGGGATTCCTTTTTGAAGGGAAAAGTCTTTTTTGTAAGAGGACTTTTTGTAAAAGACTTTTTTTTCCAAAAGATGTTTAAAAAGTGTTTGATATTCCTTTTTGCTTTTCCAGCCTCAAAAGTTCAAAAAGACAAAAAGTCACGGATGTATGACTTTTGCAAATGCTAGTTTTTGTGCATCAGTAAAAGTTGGTTTTAAAAGGACTTTTCCATTTACCGAACAACTTTTAGATTTTTCTAACTTTTTGGAAAAGTTAAAAGTGATTTAAAAGGAAAAATTAATTTTTGTATATAACTATTTACTTGAAAAAAAATATATAAAACGTACAATGACAAGTTGCTTGAAGATTTGTAAAAATTGGGAAATTGCTTTTGCGGCCTTTCAAATTCCCGTTTCCGGGTAAGATTTTTGTGTTCATATCTTTGTCTGTGAAGAACAATCAACTGTTCTTGCAATTCAAAGTGACGAATTAACCAAAAGTCGTGATGAGTTCACAGCTACTTCCCGTCGCATCACTCTCTACGACACCACGATCTTCCTTATCACCGTCATCTTCTCGCATCCAACACACACTCGCTCAAAGAACCCACATTCCAGCTCATGTTTACAAACATCCAGCAGCAATTCTCCTGGAACTCTGCACTTCCATGGAAGAACTTCACCAAATCATCCCTCTTATTATTAAAAATGGTCTCTATGAAGAACATCTTTTTCAAACGAAACTGGTCAGCTTGTTCTGCAAATACGGCAGCTTAACCGAAGCCACCCGTGTTTTCGAACCAATCGAAAATAAAAACGATGCTCTTTATCACACAATGCTTAAAGGGTATGCTCAGAATTCTTCCATTTTTGACGGGCTTTCGTTCTATTGTCGTATGATAGAAGACGGCGTGCAGCCGGTGGTGTACAATTTTACGTATTTGTTAAAGGGTTGTGGCGAAAACTGTCTCGTTAAGAACGGGAAACAGGTTCATGCGCAATTGATTTTGAACGGACACGAAGGCGATGTTTATGCCATGACCTGTGTCGTCAACATGTATGCAAAGTGTAGGTTGATTGATGATGCCCACAAGGCGTTTGTTAGATTGCCTGAGAGAGACTTGGTGTCTTGGAACACCATTATTGCTGGATACGCTCAAAACGGTTTTGCAGGGAGAGCAATTGAATTGGTCTCACAGATGCAAGTTGAACAACTGAAGCCAGACCCCATCACCATAATCTCAGTACTCCCTGCTGTTGGTAATCTTGGCTATTTAACAAATCGGAAAATCAATTCATGGCTACATTTTTAGGTCAGGATACGAACGCCTTTCAAATGTTTCAACAGCATTACTTGATATGTATCTGAAATGCGGATCTTTAAGTACTGCACGCGTTATATTCGACAAGATGAGTGTTAGAAACGTGGTCTCATGGAATATAATGATCGATGGCTATGCAGAAAGTGGTGATTCCATGGAGTCACTGATTCTTTTCCAGAAGATGTTGGACGATGGAATCAAACCAACCGGCGTCACCATCATGGCAGCTCTCCATGCTTGTGCTGATTCCGGCGATCTTTCCCGTGGCCAATTCCTTCATCGGTTAGCCAATGAACTCGGCTTACAAAACGACATTCCCCTCACAAACTCATTAATCTCCATGTATTCCAAGTGTAAACAAATCGAAATTGCAGGTAAACTATTCAAAAACATGAAAGAAAAAACCAGAGTTTCATGGAACACAATGATACTCGGGTACGCCCAAAATGGTCGTGTAATCGAAGCTTTAAATCATTTTCGTGACATGAAACTTGAAAACATAGAGCCTGATTCTTTCACCATGGTGAGCATCATTTCAGCCATTTCAGAATCATCAATCTTACTACAAGCAAAGTGGATCCATGGAGTTGTGATAAGATCTTTTCTTGTCAGAAATGTTTTTGTCAAGACTTCTCTTGTTGACATGTATGCTAAATGTGGAGCCATTAGTATTGCTAGAAAGCTATTTGATTTGATGGACGAAAAGCATATAACTACATGGAATGCTATGATCGATGGGTATGGGACACATGGATGTGGAAAAGAGCTATTGAATTGTTCAACAAAATGGAAAATGAAAACATAAAGCCAAATAATATAACATTTTTGTGTATTATTTCAGCTTGCAGCCATTCAAGGTTTATCAAAGAAGGGGTTCGATATTTTTCCATTATGAAAGAAAAATACGCGGTTGACCCTACAATGGATCACTATGGAGCCATGGTGGATTTGTTGGGCAGATCGGGCAGGCTTCAGGAAGCATGGGATTTCATTCTAAAGATGCCCGTTGAGCCCGGGGTTAATATTTTTGGTGCAATGTTGGGAGCTTGCAGGATTCATAAAAATGTAAAATTTGGGGAAATGGCAGCAGAAAGATTGTTTAAATTAAACCCAACTGATGGTGGGTATTACGTGCTTCTTGCAAATTTATATGCATCTGTTTCAATGTGGGACAAAGTGAATGAAATCAGGACAAAAATGGAAAGAAAAGGGATTGTTAAAACGCCTGGATTTAGCTCTGTTGATTTGGGGAATGAGGTTCATAGTTTCTATTCTGGGAGTTCATGGCATTCTGATAGTAAAAAGATATATGATTTTCTTGAAACATTGATTGAGAAGATTAAGGGTGCTGGATATGTGGCTGATATGGATTTGATGCGTGATGTAGAAGATGATGTTGAAGAACATATGGTGAGTGTTCATAGTGAGAAGCTTGCTATTGCTTATGGGCTTTTGAATACACGCCCAGGTAAGACTATTCATATAAGAAAAAACCTTCGTGTTTGTGGTGATTGTCATAATGCCACCAAATTTATATCACTTGTGGAGAAAAGAGAGATTATAGTTCGGGATTTGCATCGGTTTCATCATTTCAAGGATGGGATTTGTTCTTGTGGGGATTATTGGTAGCTTGGTTTCTGTAGTAACAAAAGTTTCAAAGTTGCTTCACACAAAGACTGTAAAAATGTTAGCATGGTAGAAGACAATCAAATTAGAGTATTTTAGTTTTGTATCTTGGCAAATTTGTACTTGATCTTTCTTTCTTTGATGCACACTGTAAATGACATTGAGCTATATCTATTCACTCTAATAAATCTCCATATATGCATTCCAAATTCACAATATGGATACTTATTACATTTCAGAACTTGGGTAGTGCTATGTTTGTACAGTGATTATTGCTGAGTACAAGAATAAAAGATTAGAACAAGTTGCTTTTTCTTAATGACTATTTTGACCCTAAAAATTAAAAATCACGATCAATTTTGTAGGCACCAATAATAAATTCAACAATAACAATACACAAGTCCCATAAGAATATGGTGAGGATAAAATGTAGGCAACATCTAACCGAGGGTAGTGATATTGCTTTCATTGCTATCTCAGGCATAAGGAAAACCCTGAACTCTTGCTCAATGATTTCATGCATATGAAACGTGGGGAGATAATGAAAAATAAATAGTGGTGTGTGACATAAGAGAAAAACTGATTCAAACAATAAATCTGAAAGTAAATTGGGACAAAGGTAAACAGGTAAATAATATACAGATAAACTAGTACCTAGATTGTTCTTTAGTTTTAGTTTGGAAATGTGGATACAAACAAGCTAAGATAAGATGAACTTGAACTTGATTTGATGACTCAAGGAATCTTCAATAACTTAAGGACTCTCCCTAAAATTTTGAGCTTGGCTCTAGAAAAATACAAGCTAAATTTGAGAGCTTAAATGAGTCAAAAACAAAAACTTGATTTGAAGGTTGGGAAATATTTTTAAGAGCCACATTTAGTAAAATATGTTTAATTCGAGTTTGACAAAAAAATACTAACATATAAGATTTAGTTCGACTCGTGGTAAGGCGATCCCCAATGGAGATTTAATGGCGCTTTCAATGAGCAAAAGGTTGATGATGTGACATTCAATACATTAAACCCACCATTGTGGATCAAGTTCAATGAATGAGAGTTTAATCCCATTAAACCGTGGAATGAGATTTTGTATTTTTTTACCCAATCTAACATAACCCATTTGTCATAGAAAAGCAAATATTTTTTTTGTCATAAAGAAACTATATATTTTTATTATTTGATATATATTATATTTATAATTTGATTTATTTTATATTCAATAATTTAATTTATTAAGTTAACTAATATTATAATTCTAAACAATATATATATATATTATATATATATATATATATATATATATATATATATATATATATATATATATATATATTTAAAACGATAACATCTTATTTATCATAATACGGCATAGTGAAATTACATATTAATAAAACGTTATCAAATAGGTTCCATTAAATCATGTTGAAGAACATGATGTACTGCATTATCAGGTAGCTTTTAAGTTCTAACTTGTATGATTAAATCATCTCGATAACATAGTATTTTTTTATTTAACTTATCATTCGTAACTTTGAATTTCTAACTTGTTATCTTTAATTAATAAATTGTAATTTGTAACTTTTAATTTCTAATTAACATAAAATTCTAGTTTTACATGTTAGTATTATTTATAAAATGATATAATAAAATCCTTATGTAACAATCTATTGAACTTTAAGAGTATCATCATTGGCAATTCACTGAACTTTAAAACCAGCCTAATTCAACTCAACCCAAAATATCTATTAAAAACTATTTTCTCTATCTTCCACATACATAACCTAACTAACCATAAATTTTTATCCACATTAGCAACTTAACCCAACCCAATCCACTATTTTATTTTTAAAAATGATCAAAAAATATATCAACAATAGTCTCATTTTGTGTGGAATTTTTATTTATGTATTTTAGGAGTATATTTTATTTATTTTTAAAATTAATACAACATCTATTTTTTTATAAAATAAATTAAATAAAAAAAGAGAGATATAGTGAACTAGGTTGTGGGGGCAAATCGTTCACGTCATTTCATTTCTTTATTTATTTATTTTTTTTAAATTTTTTTTAGGGTGAGACACGGTGAGCTGTTCACTAAGGCTATCCGGTATGGGGGTAGAAGAAAACACGTGATGCTGACATGGATAACCAAGTCACGCGTAAACACCGCCCCGGTGTCCGATGGCTTGGCTATGGAATGGCCATGGAGACGGATGAAGACGATGCATTTGATTGGTTATGAATCTGGTCCTTCACATTCTCTCCTTCTCTCTTCTTCTTTTTGCTCCTTCACTACCAACCCATCGGTGTAGGGATGTCAACGGGACCAAACGGGAGCGGAAATAGCTGTCCCCGCCCCTGATCCCGAAATCAGTTGTTGCCCCCGCCCCCGTTCCCCGGTTCCCCCGGTTTATAGGCTTAAGATTCGATTTTTTTTTTTGCTAAAAAACTGTTTTTTTAGGCTAAAAAACTATTTTTTATTAATTTTAAAAGCTTAAAACCTAATCTTTTAGAAACTAAAAAATTAAAAATCCAACATTATGAATCCAACATTACAAAACGATAATTCCAACAATCTTACAAATATAAAATATGACAAATCCAACATTACAAATATAAAATACTTACATGTCCAAAAATATATGATCAATTCGCTACATCTTCAACATCAATTAATTGGAAATGGGAAAGTGAAACCTACACTAAACCTAAAATTAGAAATTCTATTTTGTATATGTATTTTATATTAAATACATATTTTTATATAAATGTACAACCGGGGCCCCCGCGGGAGTACGGGACGGAAATACCGACTCCCGACCCCGGTCCCGAAAATAAACGGGGTTTAAATCTGCCCCCGCCTCCGCCCCCGCTCCCGCTCCCGTTTTTTTTTTTAAATTTAGTCCTGTATGGTATTGGGGTCCCGCGGGAGCGGGGTCCCACGGGGGTTTTTGACATCCCTACACCGGTAAACACCATTTCCACAACCTAGTAGATTGGTTGTGGAATGGTAAAATACCTACGTGACGCAGAGTTAGCAGCGCTTTTCCGGTGGCTTAGGTGTGACCACTCTTCCGGTGGCTTAGGTGTGACCACTCTCCATAGCTGGGGATAGTCTAAGAGTTGGAGCATAAACTTCAATGAATTGGAGATAAGCTAAGAAGCTCATTTTCTGGAAATCTTTAAAATAAAAAGGGACTGGAATGTAAAAATAACAAACTTCAGGGCTGCAAATGTTCACACCCTCAAACCTTAGTCACACCTCCAGGCTCCAGCAGTACTCTCTTTGGTTTTCATCTTCACCATATCTGTAAATTGAACTCTCGACAGGGAGAGTCTCGAGTGAAAAAAGATGGGCCGCTCCCTTCTTTCTCAGTTCGTCAATCTCTCCAGCACTTGTCCACGCTTCATGTATTTCACCCTTTCTTTATCTCTCTTTATTGTACCGACTTGGTTACATGCAACGAGTTTCATTCTTAATCGCAAAATAGATATGATTTCTGTCATGAATGTCTTACTTGTAAACTTTCTATGGACAAGTTAGAATGTATGCTAAATTCAAATTTTTGATGGGTTTATTGCCACATTCCTGATTTTGATGAGGTTTAAATTGGGGATATTAAACCGTGAATTTCTGTCTGCTCCGTTTACGGGTAGCCACTCATTGTTCTTGAATATAGAAAGTACAATTGGAGTAGAGCAATGGCTTATTGCTGGTACCTAAGGTGAACATCACTTTGTGTAGCTCAATTAACCATTTCTGGATACATATCTCTCTACCCACATGTGTCATTTTTTGTATCATCTTTGCCAGTGAAGTTTTATTCTTAACATTAAAACAATGATGAGCTGAATAGGGCATGTACAGTGAGTTAGTTCTGAAATTTAGTATTATGCCTTCCATGTGTTTGACATATTGTCTCTGAGAGAGGAAGATGTTTGAAAAAGTCTAAAGGTGACTTTTGAACATAACCATTACCCAAATGATCCAATAAACTGATTTTTTGAAACAGGTCCTATAGCACTTCAAGTAAATTACAACGAAGACTACATTTGACTCAAGAGAATCATATTCCAATTGTTGGAGGTGTTAGCAGCCAAAGATGCTATTGCAGTGTTGCAACCCCTGAACCTGTCATTTCAGAGACTTCCTCCACCTCTATAAGGTAACTACATTAAATCTCCATAAATTGCTGTTTTATATTTTCTTCCCAGATATCCTTAACTAAATCTATGAACCAAAAAATGTATTTTACAGAAAGAGAATCGTATCAGGTGTCCAGCCAACAGGATCTATACACCTTGGGAATTATCTTGGTGCAATAAAAAATTGGGTATCACTACAGGTACCAGTTTCATTAATTTATAAATGTTTCTATATGATTTGAAGAATTAATTAACCGATCATTTATTTAAAAAAAAAATGTTTTCTTTTTTCTTTCAGGATAAGTATGAGACGCTATTCTTTATTGTGGATCTCCATGCGGTATGTGCACTAAGCATTTTAGGACATCTGATTTATGCATACTAATCATAATTTATATATTCATCACTTTGTGCTTTTCATTTGTTTTTGTAACAAAAACACAGATAACTCTACCTTATGATGTCCAACAACTGTCTAAAGCAACTAAAGAAACCGCAGCACTTTATTTGGCATGTGGTGTGGACACCTCAAAGGTCTTTTTTTTTTATTGCTTACTTTAATAATTTAATAATAATAATAATAATTTAATGTTGCAAACTAAATTTAAAATGTGTGTATACATACAGGCTTCTGTATTTGTTCAATCTCATGTTCGTGCCCATGTAGAGCTGATGTGGCTGCTGAGTGCTGCCACACCAATCGGTTGGCTTAACAGAATGATTCAATTCAAAGAGAAATCGCGTAAGGCGGTGCGTCTTTGTTGTATGCAGCTCATTCTCTACAATTCATAATCATATTCTTCATGCCAATTATCCAAAATTAAGGGGATGATGAAAATAAAATTCAATAATTTGCTAATTCAAGATTGTTTTTTGAAATTAATGATGGTGGTTTTGTTATTGTTTTTAGGGGGATGAAAATGTTGGGGTTGGTCTTTTGACCTATCCGGTGTTGATGGCTTCTGATATTCTTCTTTATCAGGTTTTGACTCATCATTGACTTTACCATATTCCATTATCCAATATTCATTCATAGAATTAGAAAACAGAAACCATAGTTATATTTTTACAGTCTGATTTAGTCCCAGTTGGCGAGGATCAAAAGCAGCATTTAGAATTGACACGAGAATTGGCTGAACGGATTAATCATTTATATGGTGGTAGGAAATGGAAAAAATTAGGAGGGTAAGTATGGCATAATAATCCAGATAGTTAGTTGATGCCTTGACTTATTGACTAAAATTAATTTTTATTGATTTTGCAGGCGGGGTGGTTCAATCTTTAAGGTTCCTGAGCCCTTAATTCCACCAACTGGAGCACGTGTCATGTCCCTTACTGATGGTCTTTCTAAGGTATTTCTTAAACCCTAAACCCTAAACCCTAATATGTATCTTGCAATGATTTAAGTATATATTTGTATTACCTTTAATGTTTTTATTATATAGATGTCGAAATCTGCTACTTCAGATCAATCTCGAATTAATTTACTCGACTCAAAAGATGTGAGTGGCCAGACTTTATTGCTACAGTTGTTAATTAGAAAATAGAAATTAGAAATGTCAAATGTTTTATTATATAATTTTTGGTTTTGATATTTTTATAGGCAATTGCAAACAAGATTAAGCGTTGCAAGACAGATTCTTTTCCTGGGTGAGGGATCTAGATCTTTTTCGAGAAAAAATTTATTATTATTATTTTGGATATGACAAGTGACAAGATCTTTATGGTAAATTAGGTTGGAGTTTGACAATGGTGATAGGCCTGAATGCAATAATCTTCTTTCCATATACCAAATCATTACAAACAGGACAAAGGAGGTAACTAAACTAATTACTTTTATTCTCATATTCTTAAAAAAAAAAAAAAAAAATAGTGTTATCTGTTATGTTTGTTGATGATTTTGTATTGCAGGAAGTTGCACAGGAATGTCATGACATGAATTGGGGCACTTTTAAACCTGTTCTTACTGATGCTTTAATTGATCATCTCCATCCAATCCAGGTTCCTATTCCATTACTAGCTTTTACTTTATGATTCAAAGATTAAAATTTTTGTTTTTTGCAGACTCGGTATGAGGAAATCATGTCAGAACGAGGTTATTTGGATGAGGTTTTAGCAGAAGGTGCAAGCAAAGCTGCAGAGATAGCAGATTCTACTCTCAGTAATGTGTATCAGGCAATGGGATTTTTGAAGAGATGAACAAAGACTATATATAATAAATTGACCAGTTTTATTTTTTTAATTTTTATACATTCTTGGTGATTGAAAATGCAAATTAACAAAACAGGATCACATTCTTTTGATGCAATTATATTGATGTATCCTGCAACCTACATTTGGTTCTCTCCGGTTAATTCTATGAAACTTTAGTTACTTGTTTTTGTATAACATTGAAGTTTCTTTTGTTTGATTGTATCTTGAAAATAGCTAAACATGTGATTTTAATTAGTTGGGATAAACTAAAACCTGCAATTTTACTTACTTACTTGGGATGTGATTTGAGGTTTTAAGAAATTCAATACTATTTTATGCAAGATTCTGTTGGGTAATCTTGATGGGTTAAGCTGGGTCATGGGTACGGATTTGAATGGTTTCTTTATGCACAAGTTGAATAATCAGGACTTAGTCTAATGAAAGACATGGTTTGGTGGGATTTCATCAACGTGGACTGAGTAGTCCTATCTTTGTGTTTTTTTAGCTGTTAGTTTTCCTTTTTGTTAGCATGATTAATAGTATAAATAGAGTAGAGTTTATCTTCTATTTGTAGTGGTATGCATGTATTTTCTGTTTCTATGAATGAGTAATACACAGAAAATTGACCACCTTGGATCTTAGTTGTTACTCTTACTGTAAGTATTGGTGTGTGTTTGATCCTGTGCAAACCATGTTCCAATAATTCTTCTGTTTTAAATGACCTGCAATTTTTATCAACTGCCATTTTTACATGAACTACGTTGTAGTTTATTAGTATTTTGAGTTATTTTACATTTAATAGGAATGCTTTTAGAAGTGCCATCATTCTTGTGTATAGGAGTGGTTTTTCTAATGGTGGGGTTTTTTCAAGGGTGAATGGAGTGTTTGTAGAATTGTAGTATATTGAGTTCACATAATAAGACTTGCGATTTAAAAACAACAAATTTTTTAATCTACTATTTTTGTTTCAACTAATTGCATTTGGAAAGAGACGATGAATGTGTGTTTGTTGAGAACTTCTTTAGTTTTGAATTGATGTTGATTTTTTTGATTTTAGAATTTGTTTGAAGATTTTCTAAAAGTTCTGTGTAAAAACTTTATTAGATGTGAAGTAACGTCAATTACATTTGTTTTTAGTATTATTTTTGTAAAAAGATAATATGGTAATTTTGTTAGTCGTTATATAACATTTGTATTTATATGAAGTTGTATATATTAGGGCCATCAGATAGCCTTTCGTATTAGCCCATGTATTAATGTAACTCTATTTAAAGTCATCAATGTAAAAATATCGGTTATGAAGAAATACTTGTTTAGTGGTATCAAAGCAAATCATGTTATCTTATCCCAAAATACTTTCCTTTTTTTCTTCCTCCCTTCCCTTGGCTTTACCTTAGCCACCACCATCATTACTGCTGACAACAACTCTCTTCCGATCTTTCTCCTTTCATTCTTCTAATATATCTACAACCATATAAAAATCCTATTGAATTACGAACATCAAAGCGTATATTCTTGATCTTGGCCGTCTTAATTATGATGTTTGGAGAGAATTATTTGAAACCAATTGCAACAGTTTCGGGGTCTTTGATCATCTTTTTGAACCAAACAACAAAACCTACTCCACCGGACAAATCAAATGGAACCGCATTGACTATGCAGTCATGATGAGGATTTATGGAACAATATCTCAACCCCCCCTCCTCATAATGATCTTAAAGAAAAACACAATGGCTTTTTAAGTGTGGAAAAACCGAGACACTCTTTCGTGATAATAAAGACGTCAAATCTATTCAACTTGACAATGAACCCCATAATATTTATTGATATTCTTGACAACATCGATGTTGTTATCTCCAAGAAGAATCTTGTGAAGAAAACTATAAATGACTCGTCTCCTATGTTTGATTATGTTTCAAGCCTTATTTTTCAGCGATCGCCTCTTCCATTGTTTATGGAGACTAGATCCATGTTATTGCTTGAGGAACAACAAATTAATCAAGTACAAAGTCAAATGATTAGGTAAACCACTCAGATCAATCGTCATCCTCAACTATTCTTGCCACCGAACACATATCTAATAATACCACTTTCGTGGAGGATATTGTGGTGGTCGTTCAGGTGTTGAAAAAACTACGGTGGTCATGGTCATGGGCGTAGCGGTTGCGGTTATGGTGGTGATCATCAGTTATCGACAAATCAAAACGGATAAGGAAGTGGTTGGGACATCGTCGGATATTCGACCCACCCTACCGATGCTTGCCGATGGGCCTCGCTACCAACAACATCACTAGCCCAACAGCAGTTGCTCCAACACACAACAACACTTCGAGCACCAATCGACCCATTACGGGTAGCAGCAGCCTCACAACTAGTCCTAAAGAGCCGTAAGTTGTATGTTGTATTGATATCACGTAATAGGGTTACATAGACATATATATAATATTAACAATTACATATAAGTACCCTCTAGTCTATATTATTGTAATTTTGTCTAATACGCCCCCGCAAGCTAAGGACGGGGAACGACCTGCAGCTTGGATCGAAGAGATACAAATCTTGGAGTTGGCAGCGGCTTTGTGAAGATATCAGCTATTTGATCATGCGTTGATGTGTTGAACTCGTAGTTCTCCTTTAGTAACCTTTTCTCTAACAAAGTGAAAATCAACCTCCACATGTTTCATACGAGCATGAAAGACTGGATTAGCAGAAAGGTAGGTTGCACCAAGATTGTCACACCACAAAACGGGAGATGAGGGACTATTAACACTAAGTTCACGAAGAAGAGCTTGAAGCCAAGTGAGCTCAGCAACCCTGTCAGCTAGGGCTTTGTATTCGGATTCTGTGGAAGATCGGGAAACAGTACGTTGTTTTCGTGCGGTCCAAGAGATTAGGTTGGAACCAAGATATATAGCAAATCCCCCCGTGGACCGACGGTCATCTGGGTCACCAGCCCAGTCAGCATCCGAGAAAGCAGTCAAATTGTCGGTTCCCTGCCAGTGAGAGTCAGTAAAAGCCTGTAATCGGGTGTTGGAGATTTGGCGAATTAACATGCCATAAGCAACAGTGCCATGAAGATAGCGAAGAATGCGCTTGACCGCGGACCAATGATTATCAGTTGGAGCATGCATGAACTGACACACCTTGTTAACTGCAAATGTGATATCGGGCCTGGACAATGTAACATATTGAAGGGCTCCGACGACCTGGCGATACCGCACAGGATCAGAGTAGAGAGGACTGTCATTAGTTGCCAAAGGAATGGAGGTAGTCATCGGAGATGGAGTTGGTTTGGACTCTGACAGGCCAACTTTTTTGTAGTAGTTCCATAATGTATTTTTCGTTGAGAGAGGATGATGTCAGAACCCCGGGGAACAATTTCAATGCCCAAAAAATATGAGAGATTGCTGAGATCTTTAATGGCAAATGTGACACTGAGTTGTGTAATAATTTTGTTGATGACATCATTGTTGTTACCCGTGATGATGATATCATCAACATAAATTAACATGTAAATAGTGATGCCGGTGTGGGAGTAAATGAACAAAGAAGGATCGGTTTTGGAGCCTTTGAATCCGAGACGGTGCAGAGCTTGTGTAAGTCGTTGAAACCAAGCTCGAGGAGCCTGCTTAAGACCATATATCGATTTGTGAAGCAGACATACATGGTTCGGATGCTTTGGGTCAATGAAGCCTGGTGGTTGCTTCATGTACACAGTTTCGGTAAGTGTGCCATGCAGAAAGGCATTCTGAACATCAAGCTGTCGAAGGGACCATTTTTGGGTAATGGCAAGAGAGAGTACCACTCTAATGGTTGTAGATTTAACCACGGGGCTGAAAGTCTCGTGATAATCGATGCCCGGTTGTTGACGAAAACCTTTTGCAACAAGTCTTGCTTTGTAGCGAGTGACAACTCCATCCTTGTCTCGCTTTAACCTGTAAACCCACTTGCAATCAATAATGTTAGTATTGGGTACCGGAGGTACCAGTGACCAAGTAACATTGTTTTGTAATGCAGAGTACTCGTCTTCCATGGCTTTGCGCCATTCAGGAGATTCATTGGCAATAGAGAAGGATGTTGGTTCAGTAATGGAGGTGGTGGTGGTGGTGTGATGAGCACTCGGTTGAAAGGGAACCTTTTGTTTTGGGTTTTGGCAAAGGTGGGAGGGACGAGTACGGGGTGTAGGTGCTGATGTAGATTTAGGTGAGGTTGTAGGTGATGATGTAGGTGATGGTGAGGGTGAAGGTGGTGACGGTTGGGAGATAGGAACTGTGGATGGATGGGGTGAACTCGAGGGTTGAGTGTCGGGTGGGTGAGATGGAATATGATTCTTGGCAAGAGGAAAAGAAGATTCATCGAAGCGGACATGCCGAGCTATATAAATCCGATCGGAAGATAAGTCAAGGCATCTGTAGCCATGATGAAATGAGCTGTATCCAAGAAAGAGACAAGGAGTAGATCGAAAATCCATTTTGTGAGGATTATAGGGTCGTAGGTAAGGAAAGCACAAACAACCGAAGACTCGAAGGAACGAGTAATCAGGTGGGCGTTTAAAAACATGTTGGAATGGAGACTCGTTGTGGGATGTGCGAGAAGGCATCCTGTTGATGAGGTAAACGGCTGTTTCAAAGGCAAAATGCCAAAAGCGTTGAGGAATGCTGGATTGAGCCATTAAGGTAAGACCTGTCTCGACGACATGTCGGTGTCGTCGCTCAACAAAACCATTTTGAGCACTAGTATGGGGGCATGATCGTTGATGAACAATGCCGAGTGATGTAAGGAAGGAGGACGTGTTGCGAAATTCACCACCCCAATCAGTTTGAACTTTCTTTAGTTTTGTAGAAAATTATCGTTCAACTGTCGTGACAAAAGTTTTGAAAAGATTGTAAACATCAGATTTTTGAGACATTGGAAAAAGCCACATATATCTAGTATGATGATCAACACACAATAAAAAGTAACGATGGCCATCTGATGAAAGAACAGGAGCGGGACCCCAAACATCACAATAAACAAGATCTAATATATTATTGCTTCGAAAAGAAGAAACAGGTAAAGATAGTTTTGATGATTTGCCTAGTTGACATGAAGAACAGAAACTTGGTAAAGTT